TCTATCATGAAACACCTGACAAAGACCCAGATCTGGACAAGTTACAGAGAGACCTGTATCTAGACATGCCAAGCTGCCCCACTGCCAATGGAGGGAAACCCAGATGTAGCTAGTTTTGACAGACATATCCACATGTGACTCTGGGCCTCTTTTGCATCTGTACTGATACACTTTCACCAAAACTTTTTGAGCCATGACTAAATCTGCATTACAGTTGATGCATTTTTAGTGAAGTCCTCTCACAATTATTTACATTATTTGGACTGTTATCCTCATCTTCGTTGCCATATTCACAACATTTCAGCTGTTTTACACTTTGGCCTTCTTCAGGTGACTTGAATTTCAAATTTTGCCCACCGTGGTTAGATTGTTCTAGTTCCACATGCCATGCCTCTTCCAATCACCTGAAGAAGGCTGGAGCATACGCCGGCCGAAAAGTTGTGAATATAGCAATGAAGATAAGGATGAGAGTCCAAATAATGTAAATAATGCAAGCAATCAGAATGCCTCATCTCAGAGATATAGAGGCTGAAACGTTGTGAATATGGCAATGAAGATGAGGATAACAGTCCAAAAAATGTAAATAATACAATTAATCATAATACCTCATCTCAGAGATATAGATAGATCCCTCACAATTGTTCAACTGTTTTCAAGCATACTCTAGTACATAAAACATCTTTTTCTATCATATTGAACAGCATTTCTATAACTGAAAAGAAAAATCATTAAACACAGAATTTTGAGTTGTTTCTGCATATGCTGTCAAAATTTGAGATCATTTTAACAATTGGTCAAGTTATTAGATTACAAAATGGTATCAATTTTTCCAAAACACCCTCTATATATATAAAAAATGTTAAGAAATGGACAAGGTCCGACAATTTATTTATTAAAGACATTTTTTTTTTTTATGTTTAACGTTGTTATTTATAGATACAAGTATTTAAGCAAATGCTCTGTTTATGATAAACAGTATTAAATAACATTTACCGGCCTGAATGTCCGAGAAATTTTCATAGAAAATATTCGTTCTTTGACAGGATTTGAACCTGCATCCTATACGGAACCGTCATTTACGCTGACGTGCCTTGACCGCTCGGCCACAAAGAACCTTTCGGTAGACAAGGTCGAATTTACTGCTTATAAACTTCAATCTTCTATGAATCTCGTACATTCATAACTGCTCTGGCGTATCAAATGTAAACAAATGACGTCATATATTAAGAAATGGACAAGGTCCGAAAATTTATTTATTAAAGACATTTTTTTTTAATGTTTAACGTTGTTATTTATAGATACAAGTATTTAAGCAAATGCTCTGTTTATGATAAACAGTATTAAATAACATTTACCGGCTTTGTGGCTGAGCAGTCAAGGCACGTCAGCGTAAATGATGGTTCCGTATAGGATGCAGGTTCGAATCCTGTCAAAGAACGAATATTTTCTATGAAAATTTCTCGGACATTCAGGCCGGTAAATGTTATTTAATACTGTTTATTATAAACAGAGCATTTGCTTAAATACTTGTATCTATAAATAACAATGTTAAACATAAAAAAAAAAAAATGTCTTTAATAAATCAAAAATGTTGTTGCTATATCTGGGATGAAGCTGCCCAATCATCACTTTCCAGAGTTCAAAAACATCTATATGGCCTTGTGGGTGATTAATTATTTTCTACCCACAATCCATTTCCCTACAAACAAAATGTTGCTAGCCTCTTGCTACGTCATCACTATTTCCATGGCAAATGTTTTGACGGGCCTCACCCCTTAATTTCACCAGTTCAAACATTTTACATCTCAGACCTGCCATGTGCTGTGTCCTTTCAGAATGTAAGCGGTCATGTCTCTCCACAATTTCCTGTCCTTTGTAGCTCTTAATAAGTTTTGTCTTTTTGTTATCCCTCTTAAACCTTGTTTCGCTATTCATTTACATAAGCTCATTCTCCTGCCATGTCCCTTCAGGACGTTAGCGATCATGGCTCTCCATATTTTCCTGTCCTTTGTAGCTCTTAATAAATTTTGTCTTTTTGTTATCACTCATAAACACTGTTCCATCATCTATTTACTCAAGCTCGTTAGCTAGGTTATACGTTGTTTCCTTTCGTCTTGTTTGCCTTTAATCTGCCCTGTGAGTATCAGATTTTCCAAGCCCTCCTTTCTCATTATGTCCTCTAGAAAGCTCAAGTGTTTCTTCTTGATATTAAGTAAAAGTTTCTTTTTCACTTCATATTTCATTCACATGTTTAATGTGATCACTTTGGAGTTACTTTTTCAATTCTTCTTTATGTACCATGCTCCTTCAGAGCATAGACGATCGTGGCTCTCCACAACTTCCTGCCCTTTGTAGCTCTTAATAAATTTTGTCTTTCTGTTATCTCTCCTAAACCTTGTTCTGCCATCCATTTACTAAAGCTCACTAAGTATATTATGAGTTTTTTCCTCTGTCCCTCTTTCCCTCAATCTGTCCCATGTGTATCAGATTTTCCAAGCCTTCTATCCTCATTATGTGCTTTAGAAATTTCAACTCTTTCCAATGTTAAGTATAAGTTTCCTTTTTTGTTTCCATTTTCTCTAAAACTTTGTCATTATTCATATGTTCAGTCCATGGTATCCTCAGCATCTTTCTGTAGAACCACATTTCTGTTGCTTCAAGTATCTCGTTCATCCATGAGGAGATTGTCCAGCATTCACTGCCATATAAGAGGACTGATATTATATAATAATTCAGTACTCTTTTCTTTGTTTCCAATGAATATATAGAGCTGAATTATCTACATTCCCTTTGTATTCCATTTGTAAGGAGGAAGTTTCAATTGGACAGCTTCTTCTGGGGAATTGGTACTTTGCTTCTTTGACCACTACAATCTTAACCTCTTCAAATCTTGGGTAAACCATTTCACAACAACCTAATTCAGTAATCCTCTACATTGAGTGGCTCCAGGTTTTTGTAATGGTTGAATAACAGTCAAAAGAAAATAAAACAAAATAAAGAACTATGCCAAGTGGGAGATTGTCTGGCTCAGAGTAGAGTCAATTTGTGACTGTTCATGACGTAATGTGCAATAGGCATACTTCATTCAAATTATAGCTTTTTAGGGGTTAGTCCCTAATACAACTGTAGAAAACCATAGAATAGAATGGCCAAAACATGGTGTAGGGATGAAGGGGAAAACCCAGTCTTACCTCAGAGAAAAATTTGTGTTCTCTGTGTTATATTCTTCCTAAAACTAGATCTTATTCTGATTCATGCTATACTAATTTCCACCACTGAAATCCTCCAAACACCCAAAACTGGACTAAAATTCTGCCAACTGCACATAGGCTCTGCACATACCTTCCGTTTTTCTTACACTGTGAAATAATAAGCAAATACAATCCAGAATTTCCATCCAATAGCACCCACTCTTGCCTAAAGCAACAAAATGAAAACCAGAGCCGATTTGAGCCTGGGAAAGAACAAAAGCCCATCAAAGAGATATTTTAGGCAGTTAGACGTCATCTGGTGTCAGGTTCACAGACTTCATTGGAAAGTGACCTCCCAACTCCAGGTGACATCAGAGATGGCCAGCTTGCTAAAGATCATCGCCCCAGTAAGTCACAACTGATCCTCCCTTTCCTTCTGTATGCCTCATCAGACACCTTTTACAACTCCACTTTTCTCTTTTTTTCAACAAGGGACAAAATCCTCCCCAAAAGAGCCTGTGGTCAACTACCAAAACATTTAAAAAATTCCATTATGCACTTTTAAAAAAACAAGCATCAACACACTATGCATAAAACACACCAACCCATCCATGGATCAGAATAAGATCTAGGGGAGCTGTTACATTTTTCCTAAAACTAGATCTTCTGATTCATGCTACACTAATTTTCACCACTGGCTGGATGTGAATGCTCCAAACACCCAAAACTGAACTAAAATTCTATCAACTGCGCAAGGCTCTGCACATACCTTCCATTTTTAAAAAAATAAGCAATACAATCCAGAATTTCCACCCCATAGCACCCACTTCTGCCTAAAGAAACAAAATAAAAACCAGAGCTGATTTGAGCCTAAGAAAGAACTTAAAAGCCCTTCAAAGGGACATTTTCAGTTGTTTGGCCAGCATCTTAGCCCAGATTCACAGACTTCAACAAAAAGTGACTTCCCATCTCCAAGAGACAGCTTGCCAGTAATCACAAGTCATCCTAGCTTCCCATACCATACACCTCTACAGATTTCTTTTGCAACTCTACTTAACTCCTTTTTTTTTCAACAAGTGACATTTAGACTGATTTATCTTTTGTTGTATTTTATATTAATGCAATTGTTTATTTCTTGAAACATTCATGGTTTCTTCTTTGTTCTGCCACCATACGTTTATCCTAACATTCAGGATATCCGTCAAAAAATAAAATCTTAATCAAGATCAGGTTGATTTTAGTAAGCCTTAAAATATTGGTAATTATTTGCATTTCCTTACAAATTTCGATCAATTACAGCCTTTCTTACCCCAATAAAACAGCTCTTTTAACTACAAGTTTGTTTTTTGGGTCTATTTTTAGTTCTTCATAGGTGAAGGGGTAGTTGTGTATTGCAAGTTGGGATTTACGGCTATGCTATTTTCTGATTTTGGATTTGTGAGACTGATTTTTTTTTTTAACTCTTGGAATTATGACCTTGGACATGATTTTTTTTTTTTTACCCTTGGAATTATGACCTTGGACTTATGATTTTTGTTTTTATACCACCCTATTGCAATTTACCTTGCTGCAAAACGAATTAATTGCTCATGCAAAAGAAAATCTTTTGGAATCTTTTATTATTTTGTCTACTACATTAATATTGTTCTATTTTAGATACTTTTTTCTTTAACTTAAAAAAAGAATTCACGTTCTCTTCAATTCAGAATCTCAGTCTGACATGGGGTGATACATCCTGGCCTGAATTTACACAATGTTTCCAAGACAGTTTATTGATTTGGGTTCCATGTGGATTCCTCTGGCTCTCAGCACCGTTCTACTTTTATTTTCTTCAAAAACTACAAAATGGTCGACCACCACGTCCTATCACTATCTTCAGTATTTCAAAAGTGGTAAGTAATAAACAACAGTGTCTGTTACACCAGTTTTTTTTTTTTATTGTCACACCCAATAATAATTAATCTCTCTGTATTATGAACAGTGATATTATGTTTGTTTCTTCATCAGTTTTTAATTTCCTTCATGCTAAAAGCTAACATGTAAAGAAAATGAATAAGTGAATCCTGACAGGATTAGAACATTTCAGCTGGAGGTAAACACGTCAGTGACATATCCATGATACCAGCATATCTGAACAGTCTGATAAAATTACATATATGAAATTAAATAGTAATCAGATACTAAACTAGTAACACTTTGATTCTGTGTAGAGTGCACACATACTGCACCAATGCAAGGCAGAAGACTGGAAAAAAAACTCTCTTTGATCCTGGGCAGTTCACACAGATATTACACTGATCCTTTTTAAAACTACCAATTCATATGTAAATTCCCCTGACATAATACTGCCTGATGGGTATCTTTGAGTAAGAAGAATGCTAAAAGTAAATCCTACACAAATTCCAACTGAACTCCCTAAGTCAGTCACATAGCATATTACATCACCTTCCAGCAACTCTTACAGATAACACCAGTGCCAAACTCTGTTTTTATACTATTTACTTTGGACTCTACCTGCAAACTTCAAAGGGAATCTCCATGATCAAAGCAAGATCTTCATATATCATTTTTTTTAAAATCAATTTACCCCAAGCAAGGCGGTAATGCCACTAAGATGCAAAGGGCTACCAGGAGTGAAAGAAAATGAGAAGACTTTAGAAGGAATTGGAAACCCAATCTTAAACAGGAAATGAGGGATAAACCTCTACTTCTGTTCAAAAGACCAGTTCTAACCTTCATGGCTAAGACCTACATTGCCACACCCATTTTCGCAAACCATTTTCATTCCCTTCGTATTCTATTGGTGAGATGTAAGTTCTACTCAAGCAGCTTCTTCCCACAAACCACTACTTTGTGGAACTGACTCCCAAGGAGATGCTTCCCAATAACAACAATATTAACCTGTTCATGTCTATGGTTAACTGTTATCTTCCCCATATACTGTCTCTCTTACCTATTACTCTGTAACCCTTTACTCTGAGTGGCTCTTTAGCCTTGTATAGAGTATTTCTTACCCCCATTTCCCTACTTTCTCTTAGTCATTGTACACAGTATTTTAATTCCTTGTTTGAGCTCTGATGAGAGAGAGGAATGAAAACCAATCAGCTGCTTCTAATATTTTTTGAATTTTTCTCCAAGTACGCCAAGTGTTTTTATCAAAACACCATGTCTAGGAAGGTTGCCATTCCAGGCTTGAAACCCCATCCTAACCTTACGAATGAAAGAAAGCGGGCAATGAACAGTATTTTAATTTCTTGAGAGAGAGAGGAATGAAAACCAGTTAGCAAACTAATATCATCTAATATTTTTTTTGTATTGCCTTTTATTTTCTTGTATTTTTATGCAATTTTTTTATCTTTTTTAATGTCTGATTAGATTAAAAGTATTTATTTGAAAATCTCAAGTTTAAGGATACTACTACTACTACTAAGTATTTAATGATGCAACAGGAAATAAAGCTGGGATGAAAGAGATTGGTAGAAAGAATATGCTAATGAATTCTGGCTGAAGATAATATCTTTATAGTAAAATTCCCAGAACAATTCTGTGGATAAAACAAATTGGTATTTGAATGACAATAGGAAAAATTGTCATTCTTATATTGTTCTGGGAATTTTACTATATTGCTGACATGGAAAAAAACCAAAAACCTCTTAGTATAAAGGAAGTTAACATCAGCCAGAAAGAGACTTATGCAAAAGCACTTCACACTTTTTAAATTTTGGATTTAATATAACTATGAAAAGAAAAACATTTCACTTCAATTTTGGCTTGATAAAGTTGCAAGACGAAATGTGTTGGCAAAAACTAAGATTTCTTTCCTATTACTATTCTTATGCCATAATATCTTTAACAAAGTGATATCAGCTTATACAAGGTGCAGTAGAAATCCCTCCCACATAATGGTAAAACATTAACTAGATGAAGACACCATTGCCACTAATGTCTTACCGTTGGAGGTATTTCTGCCACACCCTGTATATAGTAAAATCCTGTGGCATGAGATGGAAATTTCAGTTTTGGGTAGTCTCAATGTCCACACACAATCTGCAAATTGCATTTTTTGCAGGTCTACTCTCCAGCATTAATCCAGTCTCACTTTGTGTTTTTACTTTTTTGTTTTTGTTCTTTTATTTACTCCAGGTTGGAAGTCTTCTTCTCAGTGTCCTGAGCATAGTACAACTAGTTGCAAGAATTGGTAATATACCAATGACAACCAATGCTGTTGTATATATCTCTACAGTTATTAAAGTCCTGTCTTACGTAAGTGAATTTTCTTTGGGTTAATGTTGTGTATGATACACCTAATTTACATAAGCGGACTACCGACCATAAAATATGGGTTGGTTAGTAGAGATTAAGAAATTGAATCCAGAGACTATCTTTAGTCAACCCATTATGCAGGAACAGTCTTCCCAAGAATATACCAAACTAACTGTAAATATTGTGTACCTATTCTTTGTTTCAATACATTTTGTTAACGTACATTTGGTGTTGTATTATTCCATGCTTATTTAAGCTTCAACAGTTAATATCAAGTTCATAAAACCATGCAATATTAAATCCATTGATTCTGTTCCCTTTGTAAAGTCACCCCAAAAAAAAACGAAAAAATACCTTCACCCTTCGACATTGTTTATTGTTTTAAAAAGCATTGATTAGAATTGTAATAAAACCTAAACAAATGATGAAATTGAATTTATATATTTTCTTTGTTCTTGAGAATTTGCAACAAAATTATTAAACACTATTTATTAGATTGTTTATTTAAAAGAATTTTATATTTACAACATTTGAAAAACTAATACAATATTTATCATTTATCAATTTATAAAGTGATGTAATGAATATGCATACACCTGGGTTCCCCCTCACAGTAATCTGATTGGATGGTGTCAGCCATAAATACAGACTGATGTGGAGGTACAAGACAATGTCTATTGACAACGCCTATTGGCTATGCCTATTGCTTACCACTACGACGAGGACCAGTCCATTACGGTTACCTGCTAGATTGTCCTACCCGGTTACAGTAGTCAACAACAACTTTGATACTTCGAACAAATATATCCCTTTCTGGGAGATATCATAAAGAAATAAAAATAAAAACAATTTTTTATTCATAAATTTATAAACATTTAATAAATCATAAAAATATATGAACCAACTATAAGAAAATCCTTATTATTTTCTATTTTATAAAGTTTGAATTGATTGGCAATTGAGCAATGTTTTGCCAATCATTTTAATAAGGAATATAATTAATAAGTAGTCTAAATAAACAATCTAATAAATAAATAGTGTTTATTATTTTTGTTGTCAATTCTCAAGAACAAAGAAATTGTATAAATTCATTTTCAGATGTTTAAGTTTTATTAAAATTTTAATCATTTTTTTTTTAAATAATAAACATTCCTGAGGAGTGAAGGTAGTTAAAATAATAGCGAGTTCCTAGCTCTCCTAGATCTGAATCCATAGTATTACTATGTATGGGGTATAGTGAATAGAGAAGTCTGTCGGGTTAACTCCTCCTAATTTTTGAAACCACTACTAGGGGGCATTTTCCCCGTTTATAAATACTTGGTAATATCTTTTCTCACCCTCTTTTACTCATTCCTCTGCATAGACATCAATATGTAAATTTGTAGCAGAAGAATGTGATCCCTCTTTTCGGACACACATGTACATACGCACATTCACTCGCTACACATACTTTGGACCAAAATGTTTCCACATTCATTTGTTACACACATTATTGTCTTTGTCGCTTGTAACCCTTTTGTTGTTAATACATTATCATTTGTTTGTATATATATATATATATATATATATATATATATATATATATATATTTCTTGTTGTTTCTTTTACATCTCTTTACATGGACTCACATCTCGAGTCTGCCATATTTGTTGTGAGCATTTCAGGAGACACATGCCTCATCCTCAATACTGGAAAGAATGATAACAATTACTAGTCTTTACTAAAAAAATGTTTTAAGAGAAAGATTTTATAAATTTCAAACCAAAACAGTACTGGCTGCTCAGTCAATGAATATTTCCTTGTAGGGAAATGACTAATAGTACCATTACCACCATTTTATATATATATATATATATATATGTGCCCAAAAAAGGTTTTGCTGATTTTTATAAAGGAAATTAAAGATGCATATTTAAAGTCTTAAATGTATTTATTCATCAAAATATGAACCATCACATTCTATGACCTTCTTCCAATGGATGGTTCAACAACTGAGTAATACCATTTTTGTAAAAGTGCTTAGTTTTACTTTGGAAAAAGTTATGCAATTCCGTTTTCAATTCTTATTTATTATTATATGTCTTGTTCTTCATATGATTATCTAAGCCTAAAAACAAGTGAAAATCTGTTAGGGAGAGGTCTGGTGAATATGGTGGATGAAGCATAATCTCCCACTTTAGCTCTGCTATCTTGGCAAAGGTCATTTCTGCAACCTGTGGGCAAGCATTGTTCTGGAGAAACAAAACTTTTTTTTCTGTTTACTAATGCAGGCTGTTTCTTCAACAAATTTTCCTGAATTTGTTCAAGTTGCTTGCAATATTTGTTAGCAGTAATGGTTTCATCCATTTTTTAAAACTCATAGTGAATTATTCCTTGACATGTCCATCAAATACAAAGCAAAATTTTTTCTTGTAATAGTGGTGCCTTTGAAGTTTGTGGCAAAGGATCACCCGGCGATAATCAATGATGTTTCCTCTTAGAGTTTGTATACATGATCCACTTTTCATCACATGTCATAATTTGATCAAAAATGGATTCTTTTGTTAGTCTACTGCGATGAGAAGAGCATATGGTAAGTCTCTGCAGTTTTTTTTGCTGGTGTTAACTCATATGGTACCCATTTGCTTAATTTCCATTTCTTCCCCAGCTGGTACAAATGCAGTCTTATAGTTTCATTGCTTACATTAAACCTCAAAGCTAGTTCATGACATATTAAACCCGAATCTGATTCTATGGCTGTATTTAAATCCTCATTGTTTAGGGATATTGGTCGTCCAGCTCGAGGTTCATCTTTGAGGGTTTCATTGCCAAAACAAAACTTCTGAAAGTAATTACATACAGTTTGTTCACTTACTGCACCTTTGCCAAAGCTTACGAGAAGTGCATGATGCTCTTTTACCAAGTTTAAACTCATACAACAGACAAGGATAAATTACCAATTTCATTTTGAGGGCTCTGAAATGAGAAATAAAATGATATTAGTTATATAATAAAATAATAACTGAATCATTCAACAATGTACTTGTCAATACAATTTGCTTCCTGTATACTTATGCTTGTCAGCAACTAAACAGCTGGGCCAGAAATAAGTTATCAAAAATCGGCAAAAACTTTTTAGGGCACCTGATATATATATATATATATATATATATATATAATTCCATCAATAAGAACATTATTTTAGTCTGATGAAGTCTTTGAAAGAATGAAACATCTTACATAGATTTTTTTTCCCATTTTGTCATCCAATAACTTAGAATTTGTATTCTGATTATTTGTAAAAACATTTAAAATTTATTCATTTTGAAACATTTGGCTTTACTTCAGAATTTTACCCTTATAGGTGGTTCGAAGTTTGTTTTTAAGCAAACTGAACCCCTTTTTAAATCCTGTAAAACAGATAATTTTGGACACAGACTTTTTTGTCTTCAAAAATTCAATGGAACACTGAAAACTCCTTAGATCATTTACATCTGCTCTTGGTAAAAATGATTCGAAATTAAAAAATAATTGAAGTAGCAGTGAAATATTGAAAAGAATTTGTTAAAAGTCATTAACTCAAGAGAAATCTTAAAATCTTTGGAAAATTTTGAATCACTTGAAAATTTTATCTTAATTGCTAACTGGTGCTTAATTCTTAAACAAATTTCAACTATACTCAGAATTTAAAGTTAGCTTTACTTGTATTTCTACTAATCCCTAATCAGCAGGAATCTATTGTTAAACAATTAATTAGGGAAACAACTCTATAATTAGCCAAATTCCAACTCTGTTTAAAAATTTAGTTAGCTTTATTTGTACTATTACTAATGTCTAATCAGTCTAGTGTTAAATGATTTTTTAACATACCTACTTACACTGTATAAAAAAGTTTTTTGTAATAAAGTGTACAAATGATCATAATGAAAGAGGCAATGGAAAAGAAAATGAAAAAATTAATGAATTTGCAAAAAAATAATGTAATAAAAAATGAATTTGTATAAAAATATTTTGAATTTATCCAAAATCTTTTCCTCTTTCAATATTGATAGGATTTTCTTTTCAGCTTTTAAAACAAAATTTTCAAAAACCAAATCATCATCATTATTACAATGAGTGTGAAGGCAGACCCCACACTATTAGTAATCTTTTAATTTCTTTTTCCTCTTTCAATATTGATGTGATTTTATTTTCATCTTTTTGTAACAATAAATACAAAAATTAGTTACAGACCCCACTCTAATCTTATTAACTTACAAGTTGTCCTACAGCTATATCACGTTGAAACACCAGTTCCCATACAATGACCAAGGTTAAGCAATGTTGAGCCTGGTCAATACCTACATGGGTGACAGCTTGGGAATACCAGGTTCTGTGAGCTTGGATGTGTGGGTGGTGTAATGGATAATGGCTTGGAATTACTAATCGGAAAGCTGCAATTCCAGTTGTGTTTGTTATATCCACTTACCTTTGAGAATTTTATGAATATGCCTCTTCTCCCCCAGCTATGGGTTAATTAGTAAAGCTTATATCACTAAATCATTATCTAAAAAAAGTATTTTTACAATCTAAAAATATTTTCTTCCTTGAAATAATCTGCAAGGTATTGATATGCCGTAAAAACAAATCAATGTGTTTTTATTTTTAATTCAAATTTTAAAAATTGACATACATGACCAATGTTTCAGTGAATAAAGTTTCTTTTCTAATTCATCATTTTTGTATAGAAAGAAATTATATCTGCCCTGTCAAAATTCAGTTTTAAGTTATAAAATGAAAATGTTTATATTTAAAGAGATTCTAAAATAAATATTTTTTAATTTTTAAAAGCATATTTGAATAAATCTGTGTTATTTATGTTATATCTGTATAGAAAGAAATTATATCTGCCCTGTCAAAATTCAGTTTTAAGTTATAAAATGAAAATGTTTATATTTAAAGAGATTCTAAAATAAATATTTTTTAATTTTTAAAAGCGTATTTGAATAAATCTGTGTTATTTATGTTATATCTGTATAGAAAGAATATATATCTGCCCTGTCAAAATTCATCCGTATGTAATCAGAAAAAATATCAGTGTGTTTATATCTAAAGAGAATGTAAAATAAATATAATCTAAATTTCTAAAAATATTTTTTTAATTTTAAAAGCATATTTGAATAAGTATTTCATATTTGATTAGGGCCTTTTGACAGTATTGTGCTAACAGAAACCTTGCTATAATGTACTGTTTTTGCTGTGTTACAGTAACAAACCCACAAAAATAAATCAGGTCATTGCAATATACAGGCTGGTCCGAAAGTCTTGTCACCCATACATAATATAATTTCCTATTCTAACACTTTGTGGGTCATTATCAAGGAGAGAGTTTCATATGAACAGAACCAGAATACCCATTAGTTGATGGCCATCATTTGGAGAGCCTTTGCAACAATCAACAAAGAATATCTTTATAAAATATCACACAGGACATGGCACAACAACATTTTTATGCCACAAAAATGATGGTGTTCATACAGACCTTCTCAATGTGTGACAAAATCAATGAAAGAGAGTAAATTGAATCCTTTGTATTACTGTCTTACTTGTTCTTCTATTGTTCTCATTAGTTTTTGGTAAAGCAGTTAAAAGACTTTCAGATTAGCCTGTATATTTTAATTTATTTGTATAAATTATGTGAGCCATTGTGTATGTTGGCCAAGTGAGGATATAACAGTTTTATGATATAATTTTTGTCATACCAAATTTTTGCTTTGTCAGTTTAATAAAATAAGCTTCAGTACACAATTTACAAATAACAATCTGTTTTGTTCAAAACAAAAATACATTTCCTTAATTTTTTTTCTGTTTTGGTTATTTTATTTATCTAAAAAAAAATTTTTTTTTTTTTTTTCAATAATCAGATTTTGGCAGCGATTTTGATGGAGTTAGATAGGAGAAAAGCAGTTTTTTCTTCAGGCATATTATTTATATTCTGGTCACTAAACGTTCTTGCAGGAGTGATACCATTTTATTCAAAAATAGAAAAACAGGTAAGTTACTTTATTATCATTATTTACCAAATACTCACCTGACAGACGTAGATGTCATGGAAGTTCTCTTTAAATATAAAATTTTTGTATAAACAACATATTCAAATGTGATAGGCATCTTGTCTACAGTCACTTTCTCACAGGTATGCTGTGGCTTCCCTCTGTCTTTTCTTCAAATATTTTCACAGCAACTGCTCTGACAAGCTTTTTTCACTGTTGCCCCAACTGCATAAATTTAAGCATACTACTAGGTTGGCATCTTGGTCCCACCCTCTCACTGTTAAAACAGTTTTCTATTCCAACAATTTCTTTTCCCGACAGTAGAACTCCCTTCTTCCTACTTATTTCCCTCATAGCTATAATCTTCAAATATTCAAATGTAATGTCAGTCTGATACCTTGATCCTGATCCCCATCCTTCTCTTTATCTTTTCCTCAAACAACCCTCTTTAATCTTGCTCGCAATCTCTGTAACTCCTTACATGCTAGTGACAATCACACCTTGCTTGGGGTGATATGCTTAAAAAAAACATTTCTGTTTCTTTAAGTCTCTTCTTCATCTGTGAGGGAATGTTCTTGCATTCACTGCCATATAGGAGAATTGATATTACATAACAGTTCAACACTTTTCTGTTTCTTGTTTTCATTCTTCTGTAGAACCACCATTGGAACTCCATTTTGTCTTATTTGCTTCCCAGACAGCTATAATCTTCAAATCTTCAAATGTAATATCAATCAACATCTTCTGATACCTTGATCCTGATCACTGTCCTTCTCAATATCCTTTCCCCAAACACCCCTCTTTACTCTGGCTCTCAATCTCTGTAACCCCTTGCGTGCTAGTGGCATTCCCGCCTTGCTTGATTAAGATAATCAAATACACTAGTCATTTGGAAAACAAGCTCCTTTAACTGGTTCCCAAACAGCATGAATTTAAGCGTGCTACTAGGTTGGCATTTCGGTCCCACCCTTTCACTGTCGAAACGGTTAAATGTAGCCAGATCTTCTATTCCAACAGCATCTTACCTCATACTTCCTGACAATAGAACTCTCTTCCTCTTACTTGATTCCCTGATAACTATAATCTTCAAATATTCAAATGTAATGTTAATTTGATGCCTTGATCCTGATCCCCATCCTTCTCTATATCCTTTCCTCAAACAACCCTCTTTAATCTTGCTCTCACTCTCTGTAACCCCTTGTATGCTAGTGGCACTCCTACCTTGCTTGGGGTGAAATGCTTAAAAAAACAACCAAAAAAAAGTCATCTATTTTATTAACTTCTTTTTGTCATTATGTTATCTATTCTAGACATATCTACAGAAATCTGACCATGAGTGAAACATTTTAATAATTTTATAATGTTTGTATTAATAATAAATTCCATAAACTTTTTTTTCACGTGTTTAAATAATTTGGTACAGTTTTAAGAAAATATAGATTATTTTCATTTATTTATAAAATTCTGTAAATTTTTTTGGCTTTTCTCAACTAAGTTGTCATAATGTGAAATGTCAGAAAAATCTCTATAAACAGATTTTAATATAAGTTTCAATTTAAGATATAAAATATCAGAATAAAAATGAAAGCAAGGCTATTCATTTTTTAATTCAAGAAAGAACATATTTTAATTCACGAGTTGATAGAATCCATATTTTCGGGTTTGTTGAAGAATATTAACTGAAACTGTGTCTGTGCAAATCTATGTGTATCTTTATGTGCACTTGGTTGATCCTGTGTGTGCCTGTCTGTGTCTGTATGTGCCTGTTAGTGTTACCGTGTGTACCTGTATGTGTTTGTTTGTGTCTATATTGACCTAAAGCTAGTTTTGCCAGGCTTATCAATCAAGACATCAGTTAATTCCAGGAAAGCATAAAAGTTAATGAAAAGAGCAAAACGTGCCTGCATGAGAGAAATGATTCTCCACAACCACTGGCAGATGCATCAGCTGGGACATGAAATATCCAAAAAGACCCAGACATTACTTAGCAAAATAACAAACAAATCAAATACAGAATCCTACAAGACCTGGATAAGTCATACAGTCAAGAATTTCAAAGGGTTAAGGCTCACCACATACATAAACTCATATGGATGAAAGAACAGAATTGGAACAGCAACAAAATCCACCATTGTTTGGTAAGAGCAGTTGTTAATATCAGCAATTGGCAGTTGAGTGCCTCTGATGAATCTGTGCTAAACAAAAGTCTCAACATCCCCAGGTGAGTACCATACTGAGACATGATAGCTCCAGTGAAGGATATGGCCTTGAAGATACCAAAGGTCCAGACAGATGAACTAAGATAGAAAATGAGACAAACACTAGAAAAGTCCAAACCACCCAAATCAAACATCACAGGAGAAAAAAGGTTAACAATCAAGACCTTTTGGAGTGACACTAGTATCATGATACAACTAACTGACAAAGACAATACTTCGGTGGTGATGGACAAGTTGAAATACTCCAAAAAATTGGCCAGCCTAGTTGGGAGTGGCAGCTATAGCAAATTGAAAAAGGATCTGACCCTAAAAGCTGAGAGGAAGCTGTTACAGATCCTAAATAAGAAGGAGTACTTCAGTATCTGTCTATATTTCTAAGATGAGGTATTATGTACATTATTTACATTATTCGGACTATTGTCCTCATCTTTGTTGCCATATTTATGACAACGTTTCAACCTGTCAGTATCTGTCTATATTTCTAGGATGTGGTATTATGTACATTATTTACATTATTCAGAATATTGTCCTCATCTTTGTCACCATATTTATTACAATGTTTTGGCTGTCATACACTCCGGCCTTCTTCAGGTGGTTGGAATGTTGAACTGAACCCTTTATTTCGCTCACTGGGGTAATTGTTTCTAAATTCACTTGTTATAAGTTTAATGGATGTCAGTTATCAGTGGGAAATTAACAGGAGATAACTGATAACTGACATCCATTAGACATGGCATGTGGAACTAGAAGAGTTTACCCCGGAGCATACAATGGCCGAAACATTGTAATAAATATGGCAACAAAGATGAGGATAATAGTCCGAATAATGTAAATAAGGAGCACTAAATAAGTATAGATAGCAAACTCAACATGACATCAAACTGCTTCATATGTATGATCTCTCCAAGACTCACAAAGTTGGTATTCTGTTGAGATTGAAAGTCAGCAACAGAAGCTCAGAATGCCATCCACTAATGGATATAGTCAACCCACTAACAGGAAAGTTTTTATCCTCAGACCCCATCCTGGGAGAATGTACTAACATTCCAATAAATAATCTGATGAAAATATTGACGTTCTGTACACAGAAAACATTCTTCCAATTAGTCTGACATATTCCAACAGGATTAAGGCTTGGCAATGGGTTAACCATTGTCACCAGTGTTAGCAAACATATACATGGAATACTTCAAGGAAATGACTTTAGAAATGACACCAATAAAGCCAACAGTATGTCTGAGATATGTAGATGATACCTTCATATTCTGGCAACACCAGGAACCTGTACAAATACAGGTGGACCATGTGAACTCAATAAGACCTTCGATCCAGTTCACAATAGAAGACGAAAATAATCAGCTAGCCTTCCTGGATGTATTTATAACTTGCACAAAGAATGGGTTCAAAACAATACCTCAGCTTCAATTACCACCATCCATAAAGTGTGGAGAAAGGGATCATTTGATGCCGACAACACTAGATAAAAAAAGCTGCAACCCAGATAGATATCAACAAGAAATGATTGGCATCAAACATACCTTTCAGAATAACAATTACCCAGTAGACATAACATCAGCATCTACAGGTGGAAACAGAAGAGACACGGAGGGCGATTATAAAATTTCTACAGTCTGTCTTCTTTACATCAAGGGCTTATTAGAAAAAACTCAGATCTGGAGTCCATACAACATCAGGACAATATTCTAAAGCAGTTTCACTCTACAGATAAATCTCTGCTGAGTAAAGCCTAACACAAGGGAAAATATGACCAAGAATTGCATGTACTCTATTCATTTCAGTTGTGGCAGAGAATGTAATGGTGAAACAAGCTTCCCCCTAAAAGTAAGGCTGGAGGAACATCCAAAGTCCATAGTGAAAGGTGAGACAATGAAATTGAGCATAGCTGATTATGTATGGAAGGAAAGAAGTAGTGATCAGCCCCTGTGAAATGAAGTGAAAATACCAGGCAAAGAAGAATATTGGGGAGCAATAACTGAACAGTAATAAATAAAAATAAGAATTAGACAATATCCTTAGATATGAGCAATGGAATGAGAACAGACTACCCATGTAGAGTAAATAAAAGATTCGGTTCAGAATTTCCTGTAAGTTACCCAGATCATTATACACCTGAGGAAGGCTGGAGGTTATAATGATTGAATCACTGTGATAACAACAACAAAATATAAATAGTGTACATAATAACAACTGTATAAGAATTAAATAGTTATTTTTATTTTTTTTTAATTAAGTCACCTCAAGCAAGGTGATAATGCCTCTAAGACTATGGCAGTGAAAGAGAATGGAAAGACTTTTGAAGGAACTGGAAACTCAATCCTAAACAGGAAAAAAAACTTTACTCCTGTTCAAAAGACCAGGCAGGAGTGTGAACCTGGACAATAGGTAAACCTATCTACTCCTATTGAGGAAAAATAAATAAATAAATAAAAAAATAAATAGTAAAGTTTCAGAATTTAGGTGGAGACATTAGATGTATAGAATTGGAGCAGATTTTAAAAGGAACCAGAAAGCCACTCCTAAACAGGAAACAAAAGACAAGCCACTACTCCTGTTCAAAAGACCAGGGAGGAGTGTGAACTGGACGATAGGTGAACCTATCTATTTTCCTTATTTTTATAATTATTTTCTTCCCTAGACTAATCTTATAAAACTGTAATGTTAAATGTAACCGGCTTTGAAATACAGTTTATATTCAATGTTATCTTTTTTTTTTCTGTCAAGGAAAACATCAGTAATCAGTTGGATTTTGATTTGTACTATTTGGCCTATGCACTGATTCTAACTGAGTTCATCTTTCACTGCTTTGCTGAGACAGGTCAAAGAGATGGTTACATTCCTCTGGGAGATGACACGGTAAGATTCACTTTTGTTTGAGGTTAACTTTAAATGTTACACATTAATTGTTAAAGCAGATTTTCTGTATTCAAATTGTAAAATCTGATCCCCACATGGGGAACTAACACCAGGTACAAAACATATAAAACACAGAATGGGCAGCATAACTTAAGCAACAACTAGCTGCATTGGGATAGCGAAAGATGTCTTCCAGAAGCTAAGCAGACTATTAAGAAGCAGAAAAAAAAATTTCTGTATTGAACTGTTATGTAATATTGATCCTCCAATATAGCAGAGTATGCTGGGCAATATCCTCACAGATAAAGAATAGACTTCAAGCAACAGAAATATGGTTCTGCAGAAGGATGCTGAGAATACCATGGACCAAACATGGGTGCAATGAAAAAGTTTTAGTGAAAATGAAAACAAAAAGCATGCTTATACTTAGCATCATGAAGAGAAAGTTGAAATTTCTAGTGCACATAATGAGGAAAGAGGGCTTGGAAAATTTGATACTCACATGACATATTGAAGGCAAGAGGGACAAAGGAAAACAGAGCATAACTTACCTAATGAGTTTGTGTAAATGGTTGGCAAAAAGGGATTTAGGGGATATAGCTAAAAGACAAAATTTATTAAAAGATACAAAGGAGAGGAAATTGTGGAGAGCCATGATTGCCAATGTTTTGAACAAACATGGCACATGGAGGAAATGTTGTCAAAGACTTTTAAAAGGATTTTTATTATGTAGAAATAACAAAAAAACGCATTGAAATTTAGTCAGAGCAGAAATTTATATTTGGATATAGATAATGTTTTGTGTTTTCTATTGATTTATAAGGAAACAGTGAAAATGAAAATATATTTTTGTTATTATCGCAGAATAAAAGAACTCACATTTTTTTTTTTTTTTTACATGTCTTTAACATTTCGCCTTATTCCTTCATGTTCTTTTACATGCCATCTCCCTTCAGGACATGGGCAATTATGGCTCCCTACAACTTCCTGTCTCTTGTTGCTCTAAGCAATGTTTAACTCTTTACCATCACTCTGCCATCCATTCACCAAAATACATTAGGTAGGTTACTCACTATTTCCCTCTGCTTCTTCAGTATGTCCTGTGAGTGTTAAAGTTTTCAAATTCAACTGAAAACAGACCATTGCAAGTATAATGGCATGTGTAAACTGTCTCCTCCTCTCATAGTCATATAAGTCTTAATCTAGCAATCACTGAATGAATGATGGAGAGAAGAGAATGTGATAATGTTTGCACTCTGGAAGAAATGTTTATTCTCCTGTTTGCATTTCCCCCATTAAGGGTATGATTATATCCATGAGATAATAGCACCTTATTTCACAGACAGAACAGAATAGCTGGAAGAAAAGAAATTAAAAACATGTTGGAGACGGTTTTATGCCACTGAGTCACAAACAAAATTATTTACACATATTTACACATGTCCCACTCTGGTAAAATATAATACATATCTCCGCAGCAAGCAGAGTGAATAGGAGTCGGGGAAAAAAAAAGAGTCTTACATATAATAATTCTCAACAGGAACTGGAGCTGCCGGAGATTCTTCTGTATTTTTGGAGAAGGCATATTTAGGATTCCAGATTCAAGTGGGCTGGATTTATCTGTTAAGTTGCTATTAAGGATATATTCTGAAAATTGGAAACAGTGAGTCATGTTTTTTTTTTCTCAAATTGAGGAATGTGAGCTGGAGATATGATCTGTATCTGGTGAAGTTATATTGCCATAGGAAAATGGCACTTATAGGCTTATAAACTGTACCATGTGGATGGAGGTTTAGATAGTTTACTGTCAACTCGCATCTTAATTCAAGAGAAGGTTAGTGTTAAATGATAAAATAGGAACAGTGGGTTTGTTTAAACTGTCATCTTTTCTTTTGCAGGTTCCAAATCCGGAATTTTATGCATCATTTCCATCCCGTTTGACCTTTTGGTGGATGAATAAGTATGATTTTGTTTCTTTCATCACCATCTTAGGAATTCTTGGCATGAAGTGGAGCGATGATATTGAATTAATTGTTAGGTCTACTGCTAAGAAAGTTGGTTCACTGTGTCATAACAGACAATTTTCTTCATCAGAATCCATCTACCTTTTGTCCATATATTGAATATTTCTACCATATCTGGTCTGGTGCACTGGAATCTCTAGATTCTTGACAAAATTCAAAGAAGGGACTGTAATGTAATCTATTTGGCATCTCGACTTTCTCACTGACGTGACACAGCTTACCTCTGTCTTTTCTACATATATTTTCGTGGCAACTGTTCTAATTAAATTAATTAATTCAAAATAAAATCTAAAAATTACCCCCTAAATCTTTTATGTAAAGTGAAGCATGCGGTAGGCCAATGTTTATCCAGACACTACAGATCACCAGTACTTGGACCTTGCTGAACTCCATAAACCTCTAACAATAAATGTAAATAAGAAGAAAACTTGATATACAAAGTTGAGGTATTTAGTAGGTTTGTGCTAAATTGAGAGCATGAAAATTTGGCATTGTAAAAATACTAACTTGTCCAAAAAGAAAAAAAGACGAAACAAGAAGAAATCACATAAAGTGAAAATACAAAAATTTTATAATTCAGAAATTGTTGAGGTGATTTTTACAATTTCTTTTTTTAGTACAGTTCCTTATGAAGAGATTTCATATGAAAGGAAATAGTCAACACAGGAAGAATTCTTAATGACTCCTCCTACTACTTCAACTCAGACTCTTTCCTGAACTATTACTCAGATTAACACCTTGATATGTTACACCTTTATTTATATCTGTCCCACGGACACAGTAGTGAACACACAACTATGCATGAATATTTGACAGAAAAATTGTCAGCTTTACTTAATTGTTTTTTAGAATATAAAATTTGTAATAAGTTAATAACTATACATGCTTAAAGACTGAAAATTTGCAAATTAATAATTGAATATATTTTTAAATGCTGTATACTTTCTTTCTCAGTAAATTATAAGTTAATTAAATCTTCAGTATCTGTTTATATTTCTGAGATGAGGTATTATGTACACCATTTACATTATTCGGACTATTGTCCTCATCTTTGTTGCCATATTTATTACAACATTTTGGCCTTTCAGTATCTGTCTATATTTCTGCGATGTGGTGTTATGTATACTATTTACATTATTCGGACAATTGTCCTCATCTTTGTCACCTGTATTGGGTTACATGTTACCAATAGCAGGCTTAAACTTGACCTAACCCATGTTAAATGTAAATTTACTTATATAAAAGTAATTTTATGTATTGTTTGACCTATACATTGATTAGAACCATTAATTCAATACATTAAAAAACATCTATTTTTATGGATTTCAGAATTGTGAAACTTGCATACAAAAAGGCATTACAAGTAGATGATATATATCCTTTACTGCCAGCCGATTCAGCTGATTCAGTCATTACTCGTTTTGATGCCCAATTGAGACAAGAAGTTAAAAGGTGTTACAAGATCAAGTAAGTTCAGAATTCCATTTTACTATAGCACAGTTACTATTTCTAGCTCAAATAAAAACAATGACAACCAACATACTCAAAAGTAAATGGTCATTTTTTTTCTTTGTTGTATTTGGTTATTTGCTAGCAGGTCAGTGAATTCAAGGGGATAATGAGAAAGAAAATAACAATTCCAGTGATAATGGCATAGCCAAGAATATGGTAGATTAAATAGAATGTCATAAAAACCTTCAAAGGTGTCAATAAAATGATCCATACATCATCTATTGTGACATTAACAGATGAACTGTCAATGGCCATTAAGTTAACAATTTCTCCACTTGTATATTTCTTCCTCTCTTCTGATTTGATGCGTAAAGACTGAAAGTTGAAAAAGAAGAATTTCTTGATGTTAGAATAGATTTGCTTAAATGTTGCTCTAGGCAGCCTCTGATCAACATCAAGTCATTTATCATAGAATTTATAATTGCTTGCAAATATTAATTATCATTAAGTTTTATTATTATTATTATTAAAGTATTATCTGATATGCCATTATGGCTGATGGAATAGACTGCAGATAAGTTAAAATTCTTCTTTCTCTTTTTTTCTTCAGGGAATAAACTTGGTAATTAGCAGTCATTAGGCCTTTTATCTTTTAGATAATTTTTTCTTGATTTATAATAAGTTAAAATGTCTACTGTTTTAAACTAGAAATTACTTTATTCACTATTTTAAAACTTATCAACAATATTAGGTGACCAAGAATTGCACTATAAATTGCCATTTTTGTTTTATTGTAGTAATGAATATATAAATACATAAATATTCAATCATTGTCATAGCAATTTTGATTTTGCTTGATATTTTGAAATTTTTTCCCCAATAAAGCAATCCTTCTTGTTCTCAGATTTTATTTCATTTTAACCCCCTTGAAATATCAGACAGGATATCTTGGGACAAATTTGTTTGTTTTGAAGCCAGTTTTGAAATATTCTGTCTATATGACAAAAAGATTTGATACTTATTATGGTATAGGCAAGAGAAAAGAAAACATATATTTTCACTAAAATTGAAAAACAAATAAAAATCTGGAGTAAGAAGAGCAGGAAAAAAATCCATGTATAAATGGTTAACCCAGTATGGGATAAGGCCATAAATATCCCAGCTCCAAGGGATTAGCCTAGTATGGCACAAGGACTAAATATCCCAGCTCCAAGGGATTAGCCTAGTATGGCACAAAGACTAAATATCCCAGCTCCAAGGGATTAGCCTAGTATGGCACAAGGCTCTAAACATTTTGCTTCCAAATGGTTAAACTAATATGACATGAGGCTACAAAAACCCAGTTGCAAGAGGTTCCCTAGTATAGCTCAAGGCCATAAATATCCCGGTCCCAAGGGTTTAGCCTAGTATAGCACAAGGCTTTAAACATCTCGGTTCCAAATGGTTAGAGTAATATGACATGAAGCTATAAATATCCCAGTTCTAAGAAGTTCCTCGGTACGGCATAAGGCCATAAATATCCCAGTCACAAGGGGTTAACCTAATATATCACAAGGCCATCTCTCTTGCTTTTATTCAGCTGTATCTGTACACTGAGAATTTAGTATATCAATACGTTAATTATCAGTAAGGGCCACAACAGTATTGATTCCACCCTGTTTGTCCAGTTGAACTCAATCACACATTTTAATTTTCCATTAACATCAATGATTTAAACATGACTTTTATTTGTTCATATTCTTGGCTGGATGAAGTTGGGCTGGATTATTAATATTTTTTTTTTCTTTTTTTTCTTTCTGCTGCAGTGAAAAGACCAAAAAATTAAAAGCCATTGTTGATGATCCTCTTGACAATTACCAAGTGGGAGAATCTTCCCACCTATTAAAGGAAGATGTAGACACAGACCAGAAGAAAATCCCTTCTACAAAAAAGCTATCTCTACTCAGAATTCTTTTCTGGACATATGGATTTAGTATATTGAAATCGCTTCTTTGCAGAACAGGCGCTGAAGTTTTTGTATACATACGCCCACTTATCCTCCAGTAAGTAGTTCTTTCAGATTAATTGTTTTCTTTTATTTCTATCAATCAAGAAAGATAACAAATAAAATTAAATGATGTTTGGATGCTTGTTTTGCGAAATATTCCATACCTACAACAGATAAATTTTAAAATTTAAAATAATTATAACAGAGCATGTTGACGCTTGTTTTTAAAAATCACCATCACAATGGAATGCAGATTTTATCACAGTTACAATAATTTTGTCTTTGTAATTCACTCCTGAGAATGATTTTGGAGGAGATCAAAAGTACTTGGGTAGGAAAAAAACTATGGCACCTTCCTTGATGAATTTCATCTTAACATCAATAAAATGATTAAAGAACTAGAAAGGATTATTATAAAAATAGACATATGTCTATATTATTCAATGAATATATATATATATATCAAGGTCCTAATATATATATATATATATATATATATATATATATATATATATATATATATATATTATATATATATATATATATATATATATATATATATATATATATATATAATTATTTATTTAAAATATGATTCCAACACACTACATAAGAGTTCTCATGTTTCAAAACAAGAGCCGAAAACTTCAATATAATTATTTGAATTAAATTGAATTAAAGTAAGCTTTGTTCCATCTTCAAGTGAAATTTTTTTTTGAATAACTTATTTCTGAAATTTACGTGTTTTAATAGCATATTCATTATTGAAATCAAAATTTCTATGGTAATGGCTAGAGCAATTGTTTAAATAAACAGGGGTGTAATGTGTTAATAATTTGTATCAGTATAAAGTTACATTCACAGATGTCAAGTAAGGGTAAGGTTGGGGGGGTGTCTAAATTTAAAACGGAAGATGATTTCGCCTAGTCAGGTTTATCTGTCTATGGAGATTTATTTATTTTTTTATTTTATTTTTTTCGGAAAGGGTTTTGTGTATATAAAAACTGCCGAAACATTTGTTTTTTGACAACTTCATAAAGGGTTATCTTTTTTTGTAGGGCATTTAAACTATTTATTAGGACTATGGATTTTAAAAATTATTTTATTGTTTGTTTGTTTTTATGCTAATTATTCAATGCAAAAATTTGATGATGTTGGCAAAAAACCATTAACTCATGTCTATTGTTTAATAGATTTTTATTATTTAGAAACTTAATAATGTGTAGCTTTTCATGTAGGCATAAAGGACATGGGTCATCCCAAGTTTTACAAGTTCTAGTTTTGTTTGCAATTTTCCATTTTACTTTTGGTGTCCTATTCATTTCCTTCAAATGCCAAAAATATTTAGATAGAGATGTCTGATTTCTTTTATTTATATTGTTGAAAGAGCACTTATGCTGCCTCCATCTGGCTTTAAATTCATTCTTCGTAGACCCAATGTATATCATATTAGTATTAGGACTCTCAATGGATGAGATAGTACATTGGAATACCACAGATTTAACGCAGCATTTATTTTCTAATGAGCAGTCTTCTGGGTTTCTACAATCACATAATTTTTCACTGTTTTTGTCTAATTTAATTAAAGCTAGAAATTCCTAGCTTTAATTGAAAAACACTTTCCTACCAATAGTAGACTTAGTAAAATATTTAATAAGAACACCCTAAAATTGAGTTACAGCTGCACTGAAAATCTAGAAAGTATAATAAAAAAACACAATAATAATATCCTGAACAAACACCCATGCCGGAATAGTATTAATAAAAACCTACACTTAAATTTAGAATGTAATAATTAGAAGAGAATTTAGAGTGCATAATACCACTTATAACCTTATTGGAACCTGAATTCCCCCTCTAATCATGATGCATTCATTGCAAACTAGGAACATGTGCCATGTCCCCTCAGGACATAAGCAATGATGGCTCTCCACAATTTCCTGTCCTTTGTAGCTCTTAATAACTTTTCTCTTTTTATTAATTCTTGTAAACCTTGTTCTGTCATCTATTTACTCAAACTCACTAAGTATATTATTTGTTGTTTTCTTCTGTCTCTCTTGCCTTCAATCTGTCCTGTAAGTATCAGATTTTCCAAGGCCTCTTTCCTCATTATATGCCCTAAAAATTTCAGCTGTCTCTTCCTGACCTGATGTTAAGTATAAGTTTATTTTTTGTTTCCATTTTCTCTAAAACTTTGTTGTTGCTCACATATTCAGTTCATGGTATCCTTAGTGTCCTTCTGTAGAACCTCATTTCTGTTGCTTCAAGTCACTTCTTCATCTTTGAGGAGATTGTCCAGCATTTACTACCATATAAGAGGACAGATGTAATCTAACAGTACACTTTTCTTTGTTTCTAAAAAAGTTTTTCTGTCTCTTTTTGCTTTCAGAATGTGTCTTTGGCTTTCCTAATACCCCTTCGGATTTCAGTCTAATATTTAAATTAGATACATGTAAATTTGTATACAGAAATAAGATTAAAAATCAAGGGCACAGAATCAAATGTAACTGGAGAATTAGCACTCACTCTCACACTACAAATCAAGAGTTGTCCTTCTCCTAGACCAGTTGGCATACAAGACTATAGAACTCAGTCTGTCCTACAATTTACCCTTAGCTTTTAGCCAGGCCAGACTTATGGCAGACAAGGTCACACTGCAGACAACTTTGCACGATTGATTGTCCAATCAAACGCCAGTACAGTTGTTGCTATGCCAAGATTCACCCATGCATATAAAAGCATGAAAATCAAGCAGAGGAAACAGAGAAATTTTGGAGAAAGTTAAGAAAAAAACAGAGGAAATTTGAGACAAAGTCAAGTTACATGGACAACCAATATTGTGAACTTGGAATGAATCGGAGGTAAAAGAAAGGAGCCAAAACAGGCCAAGCAAATAAATTCAGCACAAGATTCTAAGTCTCTGGCAGACATCCAAAGGAACAAGGAATATAGATCCAATTCTGGCAACACTGAAAACCAATCAGTTCCAGAGTAAATCTTTATTCCCCTATTTTTGGAGATTACTAATTTATTGTTTATATTTATATTCATATGTATATTCATATGTATATTCATATGTATATTCATATGTATATTTATATTTATATATCATGTCTGTTTTGCTGGTGGCCACTGACAAGATCTTAGGTTGGTACATTTGATTTGCATTAATGTTTTTATGCCTGTGTAACCATTTTTTCTATGTTCTATTGTATTCTTTCCTTTGAGATCAATTGGTAATTAAACACTGAACGATCAACGCATATCATTATCAAGGAATACCAAGAAAAAAAAAAGAAACATTTTGTTATCAATTTCAAATGTCGTAGATTCTTGTTGGATCCAAGAAATTTAATATCTATAAAGTTGGGTAATTCACTATTCATGTTTCCCTTGAGCCTCCCTTTAACTAAAAATTCCTCTGTCTATATCTCTGAGATGAAGTATTATGATTATTTACATTATTCAGACTGTTCTTCATTGACTTATTCACAATGTTTCGGCTGTTGTACACTTTGGCCTTCTTCAGGTGAAAGGGTTCAGTTCAAAATTCCAATCACCTGAAGAACGTCAGAGCAACAATGGCTGAAACATTGTGAATATGGCAACGAAGATCAGGATAACAGTCCAAATAATGTAAATAAAAATTCTTGACTAAATAATCAGTACAGCTCATGGTAATTTAAAGATCTATTCTTAACATGTGAATAGATTGAAGCCTAATTGTGAATAGCGGGGGACATAACAAGACCTTGCCACCAATCTAGTACAGTACTTAAATTCACAAAGTCTAAGTTCAATTGAGGAATGTTCATCAGAACAATTACAATAAGAATATTTATAAAAAAGGCAGATGCAAGCTACATTATGATTATATTACAGTAATATCTTCCTGCAGAGAAATTATTCTTGATAATTTAATTTGTTTGTTTTTTTTGTTTTTTTTACAGTTACCTGATTGGTTTCACGGAGAGCAAGGATGCTGTATGGAAAGGATACACAATGGCTGTGGCATTGTTTGCCATGTCTTCCATCGAGTCTGTTCTTACCAATCAGTCTCTCTACATGAATTCACGGATCAGCAGAAACATTGAAAAATCCTTGATCTCTGCTGTCTACAAGAAAGTAATGTTTTTATTGTTTTAAGAATTGGGATGTTTTTAGCAGTGTACTAATTTTGTAGGAAATAGGTTCGGTTCAATTGTATAGCATTATGTGTCAAGAAATAAATGAAACACACTTGGTGATAATTTATAGACAAAGAAATGTTTGTTTAGCAGTATATCAACACCTTATGAGTCATTTAGTTCTTGGGTACATTAGTGTTATGGTCCAGTTCCTTGTACTATGGTGATAGTCCAAGGTAGAACCAATAAAGAAGAACACGAACACGGATATGGAATAACACAGATATATTACAAACAGGAATATATACAGAGAAGTAGAAAGTGTTAGTATGAACAATCAGGTTTAGTAGTAATTGTCTGAACGCGACTCTGTTTCGGACTGCCTCTGACTCGCTCGCTCTGACTGACTGACAGACTCTTGATGGACTTCACTCCAGCCTTCAGAGTGAATGGTATTTAGTCACCCACCCACAAAGGCCTCATGTGACACAAGGCCGGTTTAACGTGGGATCTCCGAGCTCATGGGCTCAGCCAAAAATATGCCCTTTGAACCCATATAAAAGGGTTCAGGGTTGGTTTACCTCCCTGAAAGAGACTCTGCCCTTTAGCGTAGCCTCGTTCGGGTTCCTCCCCGTTCGAAGGCAGAGAGTTTAACTGATCAGCTAGTCAGCCGGTTGCCCGACTTCAGACTGAACTCTCTGCTTCCTCTTGAGGCGCAGTATTTATTACGTATGGAATAGTCCATTATGTTATTATGGGTAACGTCCCATAACAATTAGTAATTTCATTTTCAAAAATGTATTGCTGGTAATATTTTTTTTTTTTTTTTTAAATGTATCACTGGTATTACTATAAAAATGTATCACTGGTATTACTATAAATCAATGTATAAATAATATAAATGTATCACTGGTATTACTATAAAAATGTATTTTTATACTTTCATAATGTTTTGATCCCAGTTTGGGGGTGGTTAACTATTTGCCCATAGTTGGGACCCTAACAGGTGCTACCACCCAGGGTCAGGGTGGATCTGGAAACAGCAGCAATTAAGAGGTGGTCCGAAACTCCTCAAAACCTCCTGATCAGAGGCCTTGCTGCTAGATATAGTTTATCATCATACCCAGGACAAAATCCTTTATTCATTCATCTTTCCATACTTAGGTTATATCTTTATTTACAAATGGACTGTTGTCCTCATCTTTGCTGTTGTTATCACAATATTTTGGCTGTTGTACCCTCCAGCTTCATCAGGTGAATGTCGATCAGGGTAACCTACGGGGAATTCCAAACTGAACACTTTATTTAATCTATGGAGATAGACTGTTCCCATTCCACTGCCCTTGTTTAGGTATATCTCCTCTATTTTTAGTACTGTTAAGTTATTGGAGTCTTAAACCTAATATGCCTGCTGAGTCCAACCACACACTGTCTGGCCTATGGATTGAACCCACAAGTCAGCAAATTCACAAACACTAGGTTATTTTCCTGTAGGACAATTATCTGTGGAGAGCTTGGCACCTTAACCTGAACATAACTGCTGATGAGTGCTTTTGCTTCTGCTGCTTATCATACATGACAACACTTACTGAAGCTTTTTTTCTTAAGTTAGAACTGCTGTTCCTGTTGCAGCTGTAATAAAAGAGAGTAGGCTAAACCAAGGATTTATGACCTTATGCCATACTAGGCAAATCCCTTGTGACTTAGATATTTATAGCCTTGTGTCATGTTAGTTTAACCATGTGGAACCAAGATGTTTAAGGTCTTGTGCCATACTAGGCAATCTCTTAAGACTGAGATATTTGTAGACTAATGTCGTATTACTTTAACCATAAGAAACTGAGATATTTACTGCCTTGTTCCAAACTAAAGTAATAAATTGGAATTGAGATATTTATGGCCCTGAGCTATACTAGGGAACCTCTTGTAATTGGGTTTTTGTAGCCTCATGTCATATTAGTTTAACCATTTGGAAGCAAAATGTTTAGAGCCTTGCGCCATATAGGCTAATCCCTTGGAGCTGGGATATTTAGTCCTTGTGCCATACTAGGCTAATCCCTTGGAGCTGGGATATTCATGGCCTTATCCCATACTAGGTTAACCATTTATACATACATTGTTTTCCTACTCTTCTTACTCCAGATTTTTATTTGTTTTTCAATTTTAGTGAAAATATATGTTTTCTTTTCTCTTGCCTATACCATCATAAGTATCAAATCTTTTTGTCATATAGACAGAATATTTCAAAACTGGCTTCACAACAAACAAATTTGTCCCAAGATATCCTGTCTGCCATTTCAAAGAGGTTAAAATAAAATAAAATCTGAGAACAAGAAGGATTGCTTTATTGGGGAAAAAATTTCAAAATATCAAGCAAAATCAAAATTGCTATGACAATGATTGGATATTTATGTATTTATATATTTGTTACTACAATAAAACAAAAATGGCAATTCACAGTGCAATTCTTGGTCACCTAATATTGTTGATAAGTTTTAACATTGTGAATAAAGTAATTTCTAGTTTAAAACAGTAGACATTTTAACTTATTATAAATCAAGAAAAATTATCTAAAAGATAAAAGGCCTAATGACTGCTAATTACCAAGTTTATTCCCTGAAGAAAAAAAGAGAAAGAAGAATTTTAACTTATCTGCAGTCTATTCCATCAGCTATAATGGCATATCAGACAATACTTTAATAATAATAATAATAATAAAGCTTAATGATAAATTAAGATTTGCAAGCAATTATAAATTCTATGATAAATGACTTGATGTTGATCAGAAGCTGCCTAGAGCAGCATTTAAGCAAATCTATTCTAACATCAAGAAATTCTTCTTTTTCAACTTTCAGTCTTTACGCATCAAATCAGAAGAGAGGAAGAAATATACAAGTGGAGAAATTGTTAACTTAATGGCCATTGACAGTTCATCTGTTAATGTCACAATAGATGATGTATGGGTCATTTTATTGACACCTTTGAAGGTTTTTATGACATTCTATTTAATCTACCATATTCTTGGCTATGCCGTTATCACTGGCATTGTTATTTTCTTTCTCATTATCCCCTTGAATTCAATGGCCTGCTACCAAATAACCAAATACAACAAAAAGAAAATGACCGTCAAAGATTCCCGTGTCAAGCTGATCAATGAAGTTCTACAAGGAATAAAGGTAAGATATTTTCAGGAAAACTGCCAAAGATATACAGGGTGTCCATAAAGTTCGTGTGCACTTTAAAAAAATTATAACTTTATTTGTATTTGTGATAGAAATAATCTGTAAAAAATATTATAAAGTTTAATGTTCTTAGTTTTAAGTATAGCTAAAATAACTAATGTGATTTTAGACATTACTTTAAATCAGTTGGCAAATGTTTTCCGTGAACTGCAAAATCGTGTTACCCTTTGTATTGCTAATGATGGAGGACATGTGGAAACTTAAATAAAATTTCAATAAAACCTTAAAAAAATATAGATTTACTTCTTTCTAATCCTTTTTGCAAATTATTTCTATCCCAAATACAAATAAAGTTATAATTTTTTAAAGTGCACACGAACTTTATGGACACCCTGTATATGTACTTGCTGAAGCGATTGACCATGTCCAGATATATGTTTATTAGTAGAAGTAGTTGACAATGCACCAGTATATATGTACTAGCAGAAGTATTTGTCTATACCTAAAAAAAATAAATAGATAAGTATCTGTTATGATTCATAGTAATGATGATATTTCCTTATAATAAAAATTTCATTCTAAAAATAGCATTTCCATTGTCACACAGAATGCAACCTTTCCATCACAAGTGAGAGGTAGTGATAGAGTAAAAAAAAAATAACACAGACTGAACAAGACATAAGTCTTAACCATCAATGTAGATGTGTGTTCTATTGTGTCTGATATGGTTCCCCAGTGAGGACGAACAACCTCCCACCACTCGATAGATAGCACATGTCAACATGAACATTAATAAAATTCCCTGTGTTGAAGTTCTTTTATCGCTGGATTCAAAGTGACTAGTGATCACCAACTTCGGGAGAAAGATGCAACTTGAAAGAACTTATTTTAAATTCTATCAGCATGGCTGATGCTAAATCAATATGCCTTCTTGGTCTCACATTTTCCACTGACATGAATTATATGGAATTAATTGAAAAGTTTGTTGTGAGGAAAGGTGGTTCATGATATTGTATTAGACAATTTTTCTCACCGGAATCTATCTTGCTTATTTATAAGTCTAGCAGTTGTCTGTGCATTGAATACTGCTGCCACATCTGGTATGGTGTTTCTGCTATATAACTGGATATTCTTGACAAAACCCAGAGAAAAATTGCAATGCTATCAGTCCTTACCTGGAATCTCAGCTTCAGTCACTTTCTCACCACCATAATATAGCTTCCCTATGCCTATAAATATTTATATTGCTAATTGTCCCAATGAGTTTTCCTCTTGGGTGGTAACCTTGACTTCATCACTGTACTTCTAAATCTCCAAACACTGAAATTTAATTTCTTTTTCTCAATAGGAGTAAATGTGTTTGCCTATTATCTGGTTCCCATTTCTCACTGGTCTTTTGAACAGGAGTAGGAGTTTATCCCTTGTTTTCTGTTTAGGATTGGGTTTCTGGTTTCTTCTAAAATCTTTTGCTTCTTTTTCACTTCCAGTAGCACCTTGCATCTTAGTGGCGTTATCACCTTTCTTGGGATGAATTGATGAAAAAAGAAAAATGTACAACACTAGATTGGCAGTTAGGTCTCAAAATTTCACTATTGAAATTGCTAGTTGTAACCATAAGTTCTGTGTTAATAGTTTCTTCTCCCACACCTCTTACTTGTGGAACTATTTTGCAGCTTCTTTGTCAACTATGATCTACCAAACTTTAAATGCAATGTCAATTATCATTTCTGTCTCCTTCAATCCTTTACTTTTATTGTCGATATTTAACAGTCCACCCACGAGGGATGTATGTGGCACAAGGCCGAGTTTAACGTGGGTTTCTTCGAGCCCATAGGCTTGACCAAAAATATACCCTTTGAACCCACCTAGACAGGTTCAGGGCCTGCCTACCTCCCCGGACGAAACTTTGCCCTTCTGCAAAGCTTCGTCTGAGTTCCTCTCTGCAGACAGACATTGCACACAGTCAGAGACTGTATCTCAACGTATTCTTCTGTTTCTTTTACTCTCAGTAACCCCTTGCGTCTGAGTGGCTTTATTGCCTTAATTGGAGTGAAATGATTAAAGAAAAAAATTTTTTTATTGAAAATTATTAATAAGATTTCTAAAGAGTGGATATCAATAAAATTTAATCAACTTGTAATTTATGGAGAAAGATAAAAATTACATGGCATTTCAAATATATCAAATTATTAATATGCAAAGTTTCGGCTTTTAAGCATCTATATTTATTAGAAATTGTATACTCTTCAAGTAGCACAATCCAAACTGAGCTGAGTACTTTTCTGTTAATTATTCACATGTATTTTTTGTCTACTATGATGCCCATGTCTAAGGTATAAATATAAGGACAATATATTGAGTTTTCAGTTCAAGTAGTCTGCATGATAATGCAAGTAACAGCTCAGTGAACAGTCCGAGTTGAAATCATTAGAAATCTTCCTGTATCGCATTAGTGTCTTGCTGTATGAAAATTATTTTCATAAGATGAAACTGGCCTATAAAAGCACCTCAACAATTTCTAAAATATAAAAAATCTTGGATTCATATTATATCTGCTTTTTACTTTTCTTTGCATTCTCTTGATGGATGACTTGAATATTTTTACAAGACCAAAATTTTCACTTTTTAATCATGCTACCTGTTATTCCTAAATAGATAATACAATAATTACTCCACTTTTGTTTCAGGTCCTGAAGCTGTATGCATGGGAGCTATCATTCCAAGAAAAGATAACTCAAATAAGGGAATCTGAATTAATGATCCTCAAGAAAATTGCGTACTTTCAATTCTTTACTCGGTTTGCCGGAATGTGTTTACCATTTACAGTAAGTTTTGCTATTGTCTTGTGTATTCAAATTGAACTTTATGTAACTGTATATTTTTGTTTTAATTTAAAGCAAAAAATTTCAAATTTCTGAAATAACAAGAGTAATTATTTTTCTTGGTTTGGTTTGTTTTATGGCATATCAACACTTCAATGGGTTATTTAATGCCGACAAGATTTTTATTGCTGGTAATATTTTTAGTTTGGTTTGTTTTACAGTATATCAACCTCAATGGGTTATTTAATGCCGACAAGATTTTTATTGCTGGTAATAATTTTTCCAAAAGAATACTGCTGGTAATATTTTCCTCAAAAACGTATTTCTGGCAATATTTTTTTTCCTTCAAAAATGTATTGCTGGTAATATTTTTTTTCAAAAATATATTGCTGGTAATAATGTATTGCTGATAATAATTTTTTACAGAAAAGTATTGCTGGTATTAAAACCTATTTTTACACTTTCATAGTGTTTTGACCCCAGTTTGGTGGGGTCAGCTCATTATCCATAGCTGGGACCCTAACAGGTGCTACCACCCTGGGTCAGGGTAGACCTGGGAACACCAGTAGTGGATCCATGCTTCTCAAAACCTCTGGATGAGAGGCCTTGCTGCTGAATGTAGTTTATTGTCATACTCAGGACAATATTTTTCTTGTTTAAGATAAAAATTAAATAATAAATTTTAAAGATCAAATTCTGTGTACATTAATCTTGCTCTAGTTCAATTCTCTGAGTTGATTTATTTCCTTTAAAGATGTGTGGAGAAGTTCTAGAGGGTTTTAGTAATATTCCTTGATTTTGTTGGAAGTCAGATGTTGTAGCATACCTATGGACGATAATGGGTATGTTCCCATTCACATAAATACAGTAGTAAATACTGTACATGGTCCAGAGATGGAGAGTCATTGTGGAATTCACTTGACTCACTTCTAGCAGTTGACTACTTCTTCTACGTGCTGCTGGCAAATCTTATATGTGTTGTTCTTGTCCTATGTATTATCGTTCATTATCAACATTCATGTGATTATTCTATTCAGTAACCTTCCCTAGGTTACAACAACAGAATACAGTGGTCACTCTTATTTTTTGGGGGGTGGACAGGTCCTACTAACATCATTGCTTCTTTTTCAGGGTCATCATCCTCAACATCATTTCATTGATAAAATTTTTATACATACATACATACATACATACACACACACACATATATATATATGTGTGTGTGTGTGTGTGTGTGTGTGTGTGTATAGGAATATATACTTGAAAAACAAGGTGGATAAAATAAGTAAAGGTTTATCATAAAAACCAAGTACAATAAGAATAAATGTAACAGTTATGCACAAGATCGTCTCAAGTCAATCCAGTAGTGAGTGCTACTATTGGAAGGTTGGTAGTTCTCGCGTAAGTCTGAGTCGTACTCAACAGATCCCAGCTAATGTATTTACTAACCTCCCCACATGATCAGATGTTGATCAGATGTAGTACAGGACCAAATTTAATGTAGGGTATCCAAGCCCATAGCTTCAGCCAAAAATTCTCGTAGAACCTGTATAAAACAGGGTCGGGTAGCTGTTTCCCAGATGAAGCTATGTCAAAGGGCAGAGCCTCATCTGGGGATCCTCTCTGCTTGGTCAGAGAGTTTGAACAAGACAGATGGAAAAGATTCCAGCTTGTATATTTAGCACCTCCCACGAGGGTACATGTGGCACAAGGCCGGGTTTAACGTGGGTTCTCCGAGCCCATAGGCTCGGCCAAAGATGCCCGTAGAACCCACATAATGGGATTGGGTTGGTCAGTCTCCCAGAACGAGACTCTGCCCTTTAGCAGAGCCTTGTCTGGGTTCCTCTCTGCTCAGAGGCAGTTCAACCGTCTAGCTGAAAAAGATTTCGGGTAGTGCCTGTAGTCTGTTGACTTACAGATACTTATAGTGTAGTCACTCATGGGAGTGACAGATTATTCCATTACATCAATATATTTTATGTACTATTGTACATGTTGGGATTTTTAACTCATGGGGTGGTTTTTTTCCCAGTAGGTGCCCAGTGTGTGTGACGCATTTTGGTGTATGAAGGATCAAATGGTGACTGATAAATTCTTATCGTGAATGAGTAAATTGTAACAAATTAAATAGGTTGTGAATTCAATTAGCTATAAAGATAGCTAGTGATGACCAACCTTGGCAAGTCTACCCACTTTTTTTCGTCCTTGTGATAAAAGATTCTTAATTTGACCTCAGGCAATCAGAAAAGATAGCAAAAAAAATCCCTTCTGACTGCCTAAAGATTGTGTTTGGTAGGTGAGGCTCACTTCTCTGCATATAAAACTGCAAAGGCTGATGAAAGGTCAGGTTAAGTATGCTTTATCATATATATATATATATATATATATATATATATATATATATATATATATATATACGGAAAAAAGACAATTGGAAAATATATTTCTTAGCCATTGCCGACGTGTTTCCTCAATACGACTTTATACCTTGTTTTCCACTGTCTCCCTTACCTTCAATATTAATAAGTTTTTCTTTCCTCACTGGTACAGAAAAAAATTAGATTTGTATACATATATATATATATATATATATATATATATAAGCCACTGAATAGCCTATTTCAGCATAAAAACCTGACTAATCATAACAAATTTATCGCAGTCCAAGTACCAAATTTATAGTAACTATTTAGAATGTAATAATTAGAAGAGAATTTAGAGTGCATAATACCACTTAAAACTAACCTTCTTGGAAACTGAATTCCTCACTAATCATGACATATTCATTGCAAACTAGGAACATCTTTATATGCCACGTCCCATCAGGATTTAAGTAATCATGGCTCTCCACAATTTCCTGTCCTTTGTAGTTCTTAATAAATTTTATCTTTTTGTTATTTCTCCTAAACCCTGTTCTGCTATTCATTTGCTCACGCTCACTCAGTTATGCGTTGTTTTTTCACTGAACCCTTTGCCTTCAATCTGTCCTGCAAATATCAGATTTTCAAAGACGTTTTTCTTCATTATGTGCCCTAAAAATTTTAACTGTCTCTTCCTGATGTTTCCTTTTTGTTTCCATTTTTCTCTAGAAATGTCTCCAATTTGTATCCCATATCTTGGGTGTACCTCTTGCTGACAACTGTACATTCTGTCTTCTTGCAATTGGTGGTTAGTCCTTTCTTCTCACTTTCCTTTAATATCTTATCTAGAAATACCTACAGTTTTCCTTCCACATCTGCTGTCAGTACAGTGTCATCAGCATATCTTATGTTATTAAGATTGTGTCCACCAACAATAAATCCTGATAGGACTCTTAGTTCTCTTAGTAAAGTGTAAATGTTCAATAAAACTGAAAAAGAAATGTATAAGCACTACAGAATTTTAAAACTGACCTTTTTGCTTCAAAGCATTTGCTTTTCTTTTTGATAATTTAAAAATGTTCTTTTTTAATTGTAGGTGATTCTTGGTATGTTTTTCACTTACACCAGAATCAGTCCTGACAAACAACTTGATGCTCAAAAGGTTTTTGTTTCTCTTTCTTTATTCAACACGATTAGTTGGCTAATCAGTGTATTTCCTTTGGTGATTGTCGACACGTCACAGGTTAGATTTAGCTTTTATTTTGTTTACCTTCATTTTTACCTTCATTAAAATATAAAGTTTTATTTTTGTCAAATGCTGATATTTAATACAAATACAATTTTATACAAAACTTTGACGCTAATAAATTGTAAAATGAACTTATACAAAAAAAAATATCTGTGTAGGCATATTTTAATAATTTTATTTCTTCTCACAGTTTTATGTTTCCATGTCTCGAATAAAAAAGTTCTTTAAT